CTCAGGATAACTGGGTAAGTTAAGGTTTAAAAAATTAGACATAAGATAGTATATAGCTAGTAAATGCTGTTATCAATTAGAAAACAAATCTAAATAAAGTCTTGGCATAACTGCTGAATTTTAAAAAAAATTTTATTGTATCTAAGGAAATATTCGTGTTTGAAAAATGTAGAAACCTAAATATAGATAACCTGAAGAATATATATTCCTATCCTTCTCAATATTTTTTTTTTTTCTATTCAATAAAAACCTCATCATGAAGAACTCGAGGTTTTCTAGACTTATAAGATGGTTTATTTGTATAAAGTAATACTAATAATGGATCTAAGTCATTTTCATCTTTGCTCTTATTAGTAGTATATTCTTGAATATGCGAAATTGGTTCTTGATACATAACATATGTTTGCTGATTTTAAGAATAGATTTTACGGCTCTATGTTTCAGAATCTAAAATTCTTGCTAAGACTTGATATGCAGATTCTCCACATAATTTACATTTGTAAGTTCCTGTACGTTTTGAATAATAATAAATGTATCCTGAAAATATTGCATAAAAAAGACTTTCTAGACAAGGAATAGATACAGTTTGTCTTTCCATTAATTTAAAATTTAAAGATTAGTTTGCGATGAATATCTGACACAATAATATTTTTAAATTCAGTCACAGTTTTGCTTAGTAGTTGATTAATATTAAGGTGATGCATATTAAACTTCTTAATAATCGTGTTATGCAGAGAGAACCCTCTTGTAGATTTAAATTTTTTATCACAAACAGGACAAAAAATTGAAGCTACTAGATAAAAAAATAAAAATATATATATATATTTTTAGTAATATAATATAGTATTAGAATAAAATTCTATAAAAAATTATGCATAAATTCTATTTATTATGCTTTTATTACAAATTATTTTTTAAATACCCATTCTTTACAAATTTAAGACTAGTAATTAATATGATATATATTTTTATCATTTAGTCAATAAATTATTTATCAGATACATACATATAACTAGAATAAATTGTAAACAATTTCTTTTAAATTTAAATAAAATTTTAATATTTAGTTAATATAATTTTATATGTTTCAAATTAAATTAAATAAAATATTTAACTAAGAATTTAAAATTAAATTTTTATATATTTCAATTACTTCTAAAAAAACCAATGAGTTTTTGGATGAAGCAATGGGTTTGACATTTGTTTTATAATACTTTTAGGTGAGAAAACAAATTTGACACGTGTTTTATTAAAACTGAGATAAATAGTTTTAATCTATAACCAATTAACATATGATAATTTGCAGATCAGTATATATTTTGGGGTTTAGCTATAAGGCCCAGTTCTGCAAATCAGCGGATATGTAAGATTAAATTAGCATAATATAGCTTAAAGAATAGTAAAGAATATATATATTTATACTTTAATTTTTTTAATAAATCAAAAAATTGTAGTATGACTACTGAAAAAAAAAAATTTAAAATTTTTTAAAATATAATTTTTAAAATTAAAAATTTTTGAATTTTTGAGAAGCTTTGCTACTATTTTTCAATAAGTAAGTACTATTAAAATTTTGTTTTAAATAACTTTAATTAGTAACTTACGAAGAAAAATCTTGCAATCTACTTAGAACCGATATGACCAATTTGGGACTTGTCTTTGTTTCGCGATTTTCGAACACGTGACGATCAACTGAAAATTAACCAATAGGATAATCAAAATTAAGTGTAACGCAGGGACACGACTCAACCAACTCAACCAATTAAAAATGATTTATTTAAGGGAGATTTAGCAGTTAGCGTTAGCACTGCTTTTCTGACGAAAAATAACCCAAATAAAAAGTCGAATTTTGATAAATACTCTGCATAACACTAATC